CCTTTTGCCTTATAGGCCATGCTTCTGACAGGTCCCTTGATCCATCTACTTATTGTGGAGGTGGAAACCTGTGTCCCCAAAGAAGATTTTCTGAAGGACATGAAGAGCACTTCAGATTTTCTCCACTCTTTGGTCCTGTCAATATAAAAACTAAGGGCCCTCCTGATGTCTAAGCAGTGCCACTCCCGCTCTTTCTCGTGTTGTGGATTGGCACAAAAAGATGGCAGAACGATTTCCTCTGCTCTATGAAAAACTGAGTTTATCTTCGGGACAAAGGCTGGGTCCATGCGAAGGACCACCTTGTCCTGATGGAAGACACACAATTCCTTATTAACCGACAAAGGTCTCAATTCGGAAACCCTGCGAGCTGATGTAATACCTACGAGGAATAGGGTTTTGAACGTTAACTCCTTAAGAGGACAGGAGGCCATTGGTTCGAAAGGGTACTTACACAGAGCTCTCAACATGGTGTTAAGGCTCCATGTAGGGAACCTATGGATAGGTGGGGGATTAAGGAAAGAAGCCCCCTTTAGGAACCGTCTAATATGAGGATGCCTAAGAAGTGACCGCCCATGTTTCGTTCCCTGGACAGCAGAGATGGCCAATACCTGTCTCCTAAGAGTACTAGTGCTAAGGCCCTTGTCCAGTCCATCCTGAAGGAAACCCAAGATTAACTTAACTGAAGCCTTGAGGGGGGTCTATCTTCTGGTACATGCACCAGGAGTGGAAAACCTGCCAGGTATGGTCATATGATTTTTTTGTGGAAGCTTTCCTCGATGCCAGCATGGTGTCTACGACCTTAACCTGATAACCTGCACCCACTAGCATTTCCCGCTCAATCTCCACGCTGCTAGATTGAGTAACTCTGGCCTCGGATGTTTTGTCGGCCCTTGAGTTAACAAATCCTCCTGTGGAGGGATACGCCAGGGTTTTGAAATGGCTACTCTTTGAAGGTCCTGGAACCAAGTCCAGCGTGGCCAGAAGGGCGCTATGAGCACTACTTCCGCCTTTTGCTGGCAATTTTTTTGCAGCACCCTGTGAATGATAGGCAGTGGCGGGAAAGTGTAAAGGAGACCCTGGGGCCATGTGCAATTCAGAGCATCAGTTCCCTGTGCCAGGGCGTTTCTTTTCTCATGAGAAAATTTTTGGAACTTGACGGTTCGTTTCTGTTGCAAACAGGTCCATGCATATGCTCCCATACTTGGAGCGTATGATGTCAAATACCTCCGCATTCAGCCTCCACTACGACTGATCCAGCCTTTTCCGGCTTAGCCAGTCTGCTAGCTCGTTGTTTTTCCCTGCCACGTGGTTGGCCTTCAAAGACAGTAGGTGACTTTCTGCCCAGGAAATCAGTTTGGAAGCTTCCAAGAGTAGATTCTGAATCTTGGTGCCCCCCTGGCGATTGACATAGGCCTTTGCTGTCGTGTTGTCGGTCTGGACTAAGACATGGAGACCCGACAGTTGTTCTGCAAGATTCAGTAGACCGAGGCGAATTGCTCTCAGCTCTAGGAAGTTGATGCTCTCCTTTGTCTCCTATACCGACCATTCTCCTTGAACCATCCTCTTTCCT